TAAACCGTTTGTTTACATCAAAATTACATTTTTTTTTACATCTCAAATTAACGCATATTTTTATGCATATCTTGCATATTTCCATCGGGAGGGGTCTTATTTTATTATTTTTCACATATTTGAACAGATTTACAGCTCAAATAACATCACATTAATAATCCGGATGATCATAACCGCTGGGGCATTTTTGAAAATATTCACTTTTCTTAACAAAAATGTGTGGCAGCACCCGCCGGATCACTGCAAAATCGATACAGAAAACAAAATATTCCACGTGGATGATGGTTTCAAGCACCTGCCATGGATAATTTAATCAGAAAAGGTAAAAACATTTTCCTATTCCTATGCTTCACGGCGAAAATTTCAGCTCTCATCACTCTTTTGGTGGTTCTCCTATTCACCACGAGAGGCTGAAACGATCGCTTAGTTTCTACTGGATTCGCCTATTAGTTATTCTGTCTAGCCACCTCGAATATCTAACGGTGCGAGACCATACAGCAAAAAAAAAAAATCAAGGCCAACATAATATACCCTATTTTAGCAGGCGTCACTTACCTTCGCAGGTGGATCCTTGTTATGGTTTGGCACTTGATCTTGGTTACCATTTGTACCGGTTAAGATCCCGTTCGTCTCGTCTACGATTGGCTGTTCCTGCTTATTAACTGTCCCGTTCGTCTCGTCTACTGTGGATTGTTCCTCTAATTTAACGAAGACGAAAGGTGGTATCCCGTCTCCTTCGGTTATGTTGACAGATTCACATGATGGATGCATCACCGAAGCGTCTGAACCGTCGTCGAATTCGAATGATGTACGCGTTGCCATGGAAACATTCGGTGGCAGGTTGTTTTTGACCTATTGATGTGAATAGGAAACATGCAAATGTGAAAAACAATATTTGATTGTTTTTTGTAGGGTATTAGACTAAAGTTGCGTGACAACTTATTTTTCAAGACTTCACCCGTTTGAATAAAAATTTGCTTCTATCTTTGACAATACTACAGAAGGACTAGCCTCTGTTGGCAGCTTGAACACTGGATTCCGTGTATATTGTTTCAAGATAGTTGTAGAAAAAAAACGCTGTGACGTGTGTGCGTAGATAAGCATTGGGCGATCTTGAGGCAACAATCGATCTAAGCGAATCGATTATTTTTTTTTTGAAAATAATCGATTCACCGATTTAATCAATCATTTTGAATCGATCTTTTGGATCGATTCATTTTTCAAAATGGCACAAAAATGTTTCAAATATAACGGATCATAAAGTTGGTGAAGATTAACGATAAGTTCAATCTAAAGTCGATATTTCGTTGCATAAGCTATCTTGTTTTGACATTTCACTTATAATAGTCATTTAGTGTGATGATTGATATCATTTAGAAATAAATTTTGTAATACGTATGCAGTAAAAGTTGTGAGTGTAACATACCTACATGATGAGAATATCGTGCGTGATGCTTAAAATACATCGTTGTAATTTAAATACTTTGAAGACAGTAATTATTTGAATTTAAATACTTTTAGCGCTATTGAAAGTAATCAACAAATAATTAACGATAATTTTTGCAATGAAAAATAATTTATATGTTTTGAAAATAATTAAAATATAAAATTTGGTCAGTAATTAAATTATTTAATTAAACTAAGACTTTATTTAAAGTAATGAATGCAGTCTTGGCAAGATTTTAAATATTTGGTCAGCAGGCTGCGTAGTATTGAAAGACTAGTGCGTGCCCTCGGAGAATATAGTAAATTACTATTTTTAATTTCATTTAACACGTGGAAGTTTTTGCACAGGATACTTGATTAGGTGAGTGATTTTGATTTAATAGCTTATAATATTCGTTTTATTGGTATTAAATGAACGATTTAAAAAAACGAAAAATTAACATATGAAACTAAACGATTACATGGTCGGAGTGTAAAAACACGTGAGTACGGAAAGTACTTAATTCAGATATCCCAAAACTCATCCGAGAGGGATCCCAAACAGCAAATTGAGCCATGCGTTTTGCATTGAGCCGATTTAGATTTTGTGTGGTTTCCCTTAGCTCAGTCGGTAAAGGCGCAGCTACAAAGCAAGACCATGCTGGAGGTGGCTGGGTTCAATTCCCGGCCCGGTCTAGGAATTTTTCGGGTTGGAAAATGCAAAAATGGTAGCAGGCATCGAAAGCTCTCAATTAAAAACTGTGGAAGTGTATCTAGAACACTAAGTTGAGAGCACGCAATAAGCTAATATGCCATAAGCAATAAGCTTGAAATGCGAAGAAGAAGAAGAAGTGGTTTCACCAGTTTAGGACAATAGCCTCTCTGAATTGCAAATGCAAATGCACGGAATTTTTTAAATCCACTGCGAACAGTGAAGTGAAAGCTCACTGAAGAGTAGGCTGAAAATTCACATAAAAGTAGTCACAAGTTACACTGAAAAATGAGTGCAAATATCACTACAAAGAGGTCGCATAATCAGCATAAGTGATCCCGAAAATTGTTGCAAAACTTAGTCCACTAAATCCACTAAAAAGTTAAATTCAAGTCTACAAAAAAGCTGTCTCAAATATCTTTGAAAAAAGAATTCATAGGCTGCTGAAAATTAATCGCAACATCTTTTAAAAAGTGAACTCGAAGCTTACCCGGATGAAACCTCGAAGGAAACCCGAATGAAACGTTATCTCAATGATTGCTGGAAAATAGTCTCAAATATACTGGAAAAAATTAACTCAATGCTCAGTAAAGGGCACTCTCAAAAAAACTGAAAAAATAAATCTAAAACCACTGAAAAATAAGCTCAAAGATCACTGGAAAGCGTAATCGAGATTTCTAAAAAGCTTTAAACTTCACTTTAAAACAAACTCCTAAGTCCACTTACAAGTTGTCTCGAAAACCACTGCAAATTGACTGAAAGATCACTTAAATACAGGTTTAAAAATTCACTGTAAAATGAGGATTGCTCAACAGTTTACTAAAAACTTCAGATTATCGGTCATGCTTTCCTAGCAGGGTACGATAATCATCACTTTTAATCATTTTTAAGGGATAAGGTATTGAAAATGTGACATTTCCCACAGCATTTATTCTAGTGAACTCAAAAATCACTGAAGAGTGGGCTGAAAATTCACATAAAAGTAGTCACAAGATACACTGAAAAATGAGTGCAAATATCACTACAAAGAGGCCGCATAACCAGCTAGGTGATCGTGAAAATTGTTGCAAAACTTAGTCAAAATCGTCTAAAAAACAAAATCCAAGTCTACAAAAAAGCTGTCTCAAATATCTTTGAAAAAAGAACTCATCGAAAGATTATCCCAACGATTGTGTACTGGAAAATGCTTTCAAGATACACAGAAAGGTGATCTCAAAATTCTTTAACAAGATGTCTAAAAACACTGAGAAATGGAATAAAAATCACTGAAAAGTCATCTCAAAACCTGCCGAAAAGTGATCCAAAAAATTACCAGCAAATGTCCAGAATTCAATCTGAATCTGAGGAATGATAAGCTACAATTTTGATTCTTAAGGTTCAAACAAAAGCAGCTTTTTCGTTCAATTCTGCCAGCGAAAATGTATTCACTATGTTCTGGTAGGCCAGTAGAATGCAATGAATAGATTTTCATAAACGTAATTTTGGTTTCAAACGAAAAAACTGCTTTTGATTTTTTGATGATGATTGAAAAATCAATGACGGTTGTTTCAACCTTAAAGCAAGTCTTACCTTAAACATAGTTCCTGATTCCTGATTGGTTTCTCTCATAATTCAAGGTAACACAGCTGCAAACTTTGCAGCAAAAATAGTGCGAAATCGGTTTGTAACGCTGTGGTTATCAAAAGAGAAGCTCGATTTAGGAATCGATCAAAATTACTTGCATCCTTAATTTGCTTCTTATTCTCTTGATCGACTTTCTCTCATGATAACCACAAACCGATTTCACGCTATTTTTTAATATAGCAGGAATAAGGGCGTAACTACTTTTGTACACAATGACTTCTTTCGATCATTTCCAGAAAGTGAAGACTCGCCTACGCAAACCAGCATCACCGAAGCCTATGTTGGTTTGCGTGGGCGAGTTCTGAATTCCAAGAAATCATCGAGAGAAGTCATTGTTTACAAATGCAGTTACACCCTTATTCCGGCTCTATCAAGATTTATGCTACGTAGTTGGATAAAGTGAGTTATTATCTGGCATGCAGTACAGCAAACGTATAAAGGAATATGTTTGCAGTCATAGATCACTTGCATGAAACCTCTTCAATTAAGATCTATGAATGTGATCAAAGCTCAGCTGAGAGCAGATGTTATGTTCCAGTAGGAACGTAATAATAAAAAAAAAAAAACAGATTTATCATCCGGAGGAACTTTGGAAAACCCTGCCTACTTTAATATGCTGCAGGAGGAAGTTGGTGGTTCCAGTTGATAAACAGTGATCATGTTTTGAATGCATTGAATGATGAGAACCGATAACGATGGCAGCTTCCACATAAAAAAATCTAATGAATTACCATTAATTTACAATGATTTTCCAAATATTTGCATAGGAATTGGACTTTGACTGCTATTTTCTCAATGTCTACTTTTTCCCATATGGGACTGATGTGCGGTAATAGGCAGTTTACGTATCTAACCCATAGCGTATGAAAAGCATAACATTGTCCAATAACAATACGAAATAATCAAGCACCAAAACGGACGTGGCTGCTATCTCAAAATTGAGACAGATTCAACTTATTTTCGTCGAAACTAGTGGTACCGTAAACCGGGGGAGAATTGATCACCCGGGCTGAAATTGATCAACTTGCGTTTCGTTTCTTGCTGCCTTATATTACTTCCAGTGATCTATTTTAAGCCTAAAGTAAAGTAAAGGTACAAAGCTAAGGGATGCCCCGAATTGATCACTGAAAGTAATATAAGGCAGCAAGAAACGTATAGCAGTTTGATAAATTTTACCCCCGGGTGATCAATTTGCCCCCGGTTTACGGTACTCAAAAGCAAGTGAACTTAAATTTGAAAGTCGACGAAGAGAATCTTTAAATGTTACTAAGGACCTAATGCAATGTTCAGCTTAAACTGTGAGTTAATGGCCACGTCCGCGAAGTGAACTATCTTGTCCCCCGTAAATCTGTAGCGTAAATAAGATAATAAGATCTGAAATTTGAGCACTCACCGGTAGTGCATTCCGCTTCCGGGGGCTGACTTTTGAAATCGAGCTCGGCTCCGATTGCCGAGATTCAGGAGTGCGCATCCCTTCAGTCAGTTTCTGTAAAAAAAGAGAGAAAGTATGTTTTACAAATCTAGAGCGAATTTCTAAAAATCACCAGATTGAGGGGGAATATTATATGAATAATTTCTCGTTGATCAGGCCTGCACCTCAAGAATCGCTTAATCTATGAAAGTTTTAATTTTAGATCACTCACCTTCCGCTTCCCGGAGCTCTCATGACCTTTCGCTGGGCTGAGTGTTGGAACCGATCCCGGCTTCGATTGTCGAGGTTCAGGAGTGTGCATCAGCCCTTCGGTTGGATCCTGTATAGAAAAGAGAATGTATGTTTTACAAATCGGGAGCGATTTTTTATTCCGCCGTTAAAGCTAGGGTAGGTGTATTTATTATAGTTATTCGTTGATGAATCCTACCTCAGGAATCCTTTTATCTAACCGTGACCACACACAGTCAGACAAGTCCTACAACTGGGTCGAGTCTGATGAATTGTCTGACCGGGTGTGGGAAAGTTGTTAGACCAAGTTCCTCACACACGGTAAAAGTGGTTCAATTCTACACTCTAATTAAATGATTGATATTTTTCATGTGCGTAAAACACATAGATTGTAAGCGCAGAAGAAAATTTACATTTTATATGGAACTTATAGAAAATAAATGTGGTACTTTTAAGTAACATTATTCATTGATTTAATTTGAAGTGCACCGACATAGAAAGCAAAATAATATCCGCATAAAAATCAAAAGCAAATAATAAATAAAAAAAAAAAAAAAAACGTGATCAGCACTAAACAAAAGGCACTAATGCAAGATACCAGTTCGCATTCGCACATAGTTTTGGAGAAATTAAACCTGTCGGTTGAAATACTTGAACAGGTAATTAATAATTGCTTTATTTTGTATGCTCATGCCAACGCTTTTAATATTTATATATTGTAACTGAGAAATTTGCTTTTGGTATGGTAGATCTTGAAATAAACTCTTTTTTAATGTTACGCTAGAATTTTGTACAGCCAGCCTGCTGTTTACATTCGAACATTTTCATTACACGTTTTTACTGCTGATAGAAACTGAGGAGGAAATAAGTTTTAATTGCTGATGAAAGTGTGCAATCCTGCTAAATGGTAAGTATATAAATTCTTTTAATCGAATATCAGAAAAATTTCGAATTTCAGGCAACCAGAACGCAAAATGCATGTTTCGTTGAGTTGGTCTGATAACGAGTCGTACAGCCAGTCACCAGATAAAATACCAATCAACCGTCTGGGGATCCCGGCGATCCCGCTCTCTACCGGTCTATATGATCTCTTGCTTTCTATATATATCTAGATAGAGCTGGAATTAGGGCGTAACAGCCTTTACAAACAATGACTTCTATCGATGATGTCTAGGAACTCAAGGCTTATCCACGCAAATCAACATAACCGTCGGGTAGAAGAACTCTTCCCCTACCTGATGGTGTTGTTGATTTGCGTTGGCAAGCCTTAACATTTTAGAAATCATCAAAGGAAGTCATTGTTTATAAAACCTGTTACGCCCTAATTCCTGCTCTATCTAGATATATATATATATATATATATATATTATGCACTTTTTATGAGTGTAGATCTCTCACCTTTCGCAACCTCCGCTTCCGGCTGCTTTTGGCTCCTTTCGTTGGGTCCGCCACCTGAGCTGACTCTTGCTTCGGCTCGAATCCGTGAGAAACCGGCGGCGCCTTCCCTACATGCAACTTTTGCATCTGGCTGCTTTTGGCTCCTTTACCAACTTTCGCTGGTCCCGCCACCTGAGCTGACTCTTCCTTCGGTTCGGATCCGTGAGAAACCAGCGGCGCTTTTCCGACAAGCAATCCCTGCACACAGGAAAAAAACAAAAAGAAAATGGCGGTTAAAATCAGAACGGAATGAAAATACGGTCCCTTCAACCTTTCAAACGTATTGAAAAATACTGCTTGAAATTTGGCCAAATTCGAAGAACCCATGCGCTTTCTCACCGAGTTGCGAATAATTATTCACCTCTATTCTCGTTTTCGAACAAATCGAATCCGTCATACATTTTGTATGACGGATTCGATTCGTTCGAAAACGAGAATAGGGGTGATTGCTTAAAATCAACGATTGAAAACACAGCTTACCCGTTTTTGTAGAAAGAGGAGCTTCGCTTTCCTGCTCCGCTCCTTCCGCTCCAACTCGACCGATGTGCGCCGAGTTATTGGTGCCATTTCCGGGCAATAATAGAGCACTACTTTTTTGCACCTTTGCAAAGACGAACAACACACACCCGGCCGCCACGGCGTTCTATAACAAAATGGTGGAGGCAGTGAAGAAAAACGAAGTGCGATGCGATGATACGCGGTACACGCTAAGGACAGAATCCCAAATATGTTATTAATTTACTCAGATTTGATGTAGCGCGCACGCTAAAATTTAGATAACCAATCATAGATACACTCAATAAAAAAACACGGTGCGAACGCGAATAAAAATGTACCTTAAAATAACATAAGAACTTATTGTCGCAATGCAATTAAATCCATTGTGGCTACAATACAGTTTATTATCTAGAACAATATAAATACAATAGAACTTATTGTTCATAACAATAATTTTTATTGAGAATAGCGCTTTTACAATAAATGAGGGGGATTGTTATGCATTCTTTTCTCGAACAAAATTGGACTCATAACAATAAGGTTTATTGTTTTTGCATGGCTGAGGATTTTAAATACATACACGGATAGAAATCTCCTTATACCTTTTGGCAAATTTCCATTGCTGATTATTCATAAAATGTATAAGTCAACTAATAAGCAGACGCCTTGCAAAAAGTTAATAAAGATCATGTGTCAAATGAAATGTATAAGCTGTCACACATACCTTTTATGCATTCTAATAGGACCTATGTGGTTTGTTTTATGGAATGTATA